ATTCTGGAAACAATCGTCTATAGTGGCCAATGGAAACAATTGGTTTAATACGAAAAATAAATTATTCACAGCGGAATGATCTAAGACAGCGATAGTACTACAGGCAATGGAGAATTGGCAGTTCCTGCGACAGTAAATTCAATATACAAGAATATATCAGACATTTCTCATCACTTTCAATTGAAAATATATTTAATGTTTTTGCTTGCATTTTATTTACAGTAAAGTAATTGTAAATATAAAGTGATAAAACAGAAAATAAATAAAGACATGACACAGAATCTGAAAATATCAATAACGTTTATTGAATTAATCAATTTAAATAAATGCAGTTTAAACTACATATATTAATTAGGAAATTGATAATTTTTTTAATTAGACGTTAATTTGAAATTTATCATCATTTAATTAGATGTGTTAAAAATTTGCAGATAATCATTATTAATAAACGAAAAAAGTCTAACGCCGATTAATTTAAGATTGGGGACTTGAACACATTAAGAAAATTAAAATTCACTTTTAAATAACTTTCAGTTATCAATGGCATTAATTTTTTGGTTTAATGCAAGGAAAAATGAAAAATGCCATTCTCTTGAAAATCTGCATCACAACGTCTAAACATTTTGCAGGTTCCTGAAAAAAGTATAAATATTTTAATAAATCAAAAATAATATAAAACACTTTTCAAATATCTGAATATAGAAAAGAAAATATTATAGGCTTATATATAAAGTGTTTTTTTGTTTGCAGAAATAAATAATTGTATTCGGCATCGATTAAAAAAATCTTTTAAACTTTACAAATATTTCCCTGTAAATATGTTTAAAACACTCCAAATTAGTAAACAATTCATTCAAAGAATGAACGTAAATAAAATATATGTGATTACTGTATATAAATTTTCAATATTAATTAAGAAATTAAATTACACCACAAAATAATCAAACGATTAGAAATGGCATGAAAATTCGCTATTAGAAAGACACGCATTGTAATTTCTAAGTGTTACTTATAATTATAATATTACTTAATTGTATAAATTTATCTTAAGTGGTAACATTTCTGAACGTTTTCAAATAAAATAATTTTGCATAAAAATGATTAATTGTCATAATATAGTTCATTTACAAAATCTCAAACAGTTTAAATTAGTAAATTAATTGTAAATTTAGATTAATATTAATAATATTTTCAACCAGATTAAGTACAGTATTTCACGATTATTGCAGATTTAGAAATGTCAATTTTATAAAATGATTAGTTATAATATTAATTTACAGATATTATTTATAAATATCGACAAATGTAGAAATAATAAATCGTTTTCTTACGTTTTTAACAGATTCTGAAATGATTTCTGCTCCAACGAAACTTTTATCTTCCTCATTTTTCGCTTTTTGGATATGAATATCCTTTGTGAAATTCTCAGTTCTATTCTTTGTTGGATCTTTGTTTTCTTCCTCACTTTCTTCTGCAAAAAAGACAATCTTACTGTTTAAAACTTCTCTCTTAAAATTTCTATTGAAGCTATAAACTGCTGCATCAAACACGAGAAAGTATAATTAAGATTGGGCCTGACAATGTATTAAAACTTGTCAAAACTACTTAAATACATAAATCTGCTTTATAGCTAGCAACATATTATTATTTTTAGAGTAAACTATTCCAAAAATTTGAGAATTCTTCGAATATTAAAATAATGTTTGGTTATACAAATGAAGAAAAGCATCAAAGAGATAAATATAACGTATCTTACCGTTACATTTTATCACTGGAATTGTTTCCTCGCCGTTGCCAGGTGTTATCATTTCATCTGTGTCTGATGAATCGCATGTTCCATTATTAACATCAATTGTTGATTCAAATACATCACCAATGCAGTTTTCATTGCCGATATCATTTAGTGACGATACGTCAATCTCAGTATTGACCTCATCAGATTTTTTATTGGAACGAAAACCATTATCATCTTTATTTAATGTACTACTTGTTTCTAACTCATCGCATTCTGATAGTTCGGATAATTCTCCTTCGATATAATAAAATTCCTCTTCCTCGTATATTACTTCTCTAACTAACGAAGTTTCTTCTAAATATCTGAAGGCATATTTTAGTGGTCTTACGTAGAATTCGTCCTTTATCCACGCAGGAGGCATATTCAGGAGATCGGATTTCGTTGGAAACTAAAATTTAATTTTGAAATATTTATTAAGATTTAGTAAATTCCCACATTCAATTAAAACTATATTCGATAGTTTTTAGTAAATTTATTTAATAGCCTTTAAGAATATTTTCTAGTACATTTTGCCAATTTTGATCGAGTGATTTTTATAATGTTTACTGTTATTACATTGTTGTATTTATCAAGCGATATAAATATTAGGAAATTTCCCGAAAAGAATAATGTAATCATATGTAAACTTACAGCAATAGAAACTTCGTCGACACCGAAATCTTCCGAAATTACGTCAATTGCAGTGTCTTGTATTACGTTTATTGTTGTTTCAGTTTGTTTAACTCGCTCCACATTTTTTTCGCTATTGAAAGATGCAGAATTATTTTCATAACAATCACTTGTACAGGAAATTACGTGTTCTGATTCCAGTTCTAAAGCAAAGACAGGGAAAAAGAATAATCAAAAAACTTTATTTTAGAGCAATACAAAATGTTAAAAACAAATAAATTAGAAGTTACATATAAGTTATCTATACTGTACTCTTTTGTACCGACTAATTTACTATTTATATTCATTTATATACTTGATACAGTAGAACCTCCATAATCCGGACCTCCATTATCCGGATTTTCGATTATCCGGATTGTTCAAAATAAACAAAAATTTTACGAATTTGCTGATTNTCCGATACTCTGACAACTGACTGGTACTTGACAAGAATTGTAAGGCTTGCGGTTCAACCGCTGGTGCCCGGGCACACAGTACACAATATTTCGGCAAGACAACGCCAGACTGCACGTTGCACGGCGAACTGTTACTGGCCCGAACGGAAATCATATTCTTCCCTGATCACATACCCGTGGGAGCGTGTATGACGTGAGGTGCACCAAGGGCCACCAACGTATATCTTAAAAGACACGCGTGCTGCAATAGACGCAGCTTGCAAACGGATACGTGGGGAAACCCATTAACTACCTCGTCAATAGTATGACAGGCCGTAGAATGGCCCGTAGGGGCCATATTCTTTACAAAATAAATTGGTGTTTGTTGCTTATATCTTTGTTTTTACAATCATTACGTACTGTACTTGTGTTACCTCTACTTGTTCTGCAATGTGTAGGTGGCTATGCGCCTTCTTTCGTAATGTTGCGATTTTACTTTAGAAAAATGTATATAAACACTGAGGGTTTACTTCGTAAAACACCGTATTGTTCGTGGGATATCCCCAATTCTCGATTCGTGTTAAGAGAAACCGTGTTAGAGGAATTCCTTGTTGTACGAGGAATACCTGTATTTATAAATGTTATATCAATAATTACGAACGAGACTAATTTTATTTGGAATTTTGATTGGTAAAAATTATAAAATTTATTAAAAAGTTTGAATATTAATTAAAATTTATACTTAATTTAAATGACTACACTACTTTCTATATTAAATATAAATTTCTAAATGTCAGGTGTACTTTATTATTAATTAAAAGAAAAGTAAGAAATAATTTATAAATTTTAATAGTCGGTAAAACCATGATAAAATCAAAAAGAATTTCGAAAAAATATCGTAAAATAAAAGCTGCTTAGATATTTTCAACACGATAAAAAATGTTTCTTAATGAAACTCTGTCACATGTTCTTTAAGAGAAAATTCGTCACTAAACTTTACTTTACACAGGACACATTCCAATTCACCTTCGCCTATTCGTAGTTCGGGAAACAGATCTAAAGATGACAATTGTTCCAATAGTGTTTCGAAGTTGGTGTCTTCACGACTACCTTCAATGTCATCTGGTAGGCCAGTTATCACTTCAGAAATGAAGTTTTTACTTTCATTTGAATCTGATTGAAGAAAATATCCGAATAGTTCTTCAACCGAATCAGTTTCTACACTAAAACATGGATCGTATTCCCTCTTCTTACTCTTACTTGTAATTTCTCTACTATCCTCTTTCACTTCCTGAAAATATACGTGGATTAATATTTAGAATAGTATTAATATATTCCGATGTATTTTTACATATTTAATGTACAGTTTTAAAATGTTTTAAGAGACTTGTCCTGCAAATAATTCTACAAAAACTCTGGCAACGAAGAATGTGTGACTTTTTCTGCTGTTAATAATTATAATTTTAATAAAATTTCATATCTGTTGCTTAAACACTAAGTAGTGTAATTAATCGATTATTTGCCGTTTCCTTTATCTTTTATTCTAGTTCAGTTGATCAACTGAACTAAAATAAAATATAAATGAATTACAAATAATCGATTAATTACACTACTTGGTGTTTAAGCAACAATTAAGAATAACGACACGGTTTCAAATTATCAAAAAAAATTATAATTACAGTATTATATTATTAATTATAATAAATTAAATTAGGTGTTACACCATATGTTACGAGATTTCACTATTAAAACTTATATTATTAATTATAACAAAAAAGCAAATTGCCGAACTTTAAAGATAGACACGAGTTTTAAAACAACGAGAGATTCTAAAACCCATTGCATGAAACATTAAACGACATTTTAATCATGTCACAACAGCCAGAAAAGTAACAAAAGTGTACAAATTTCGGATAATTACAATACTTTCCTTATGTTATATTATTACGGACGAAAAATAACACTTTAGATTTCTGTGTCATCATGATAATTAGACATTACATAAGAATTTTAATTCATCACTACTCAAACTGTGCTCTGGAAATTAGAATAAAAGCAAAACTAGTCCTTGAACACAAAGTTTGAGAAACACTGTTTTAGTTTGTTTCTATTTATTAAAATATTTTGGAGTAGGATGAGAATTACGAAAAAAGGACGACATATACTATGGTGATTGTGCAATGATAATTCTAATTGCAACTTGCCTCCATCAACTCTGTTCTCAGATTATTGTGCACCGAAGTTTTGAAATATTTGGAAATTTTATTAGCCGTTCATACAAAAACAAATATATCACCGATTATAATTATTACAGCATACAAGGAAATAAATAAAAAGCCACACGAGACATATTCTTGGTCAGTTCAAGATCGGACATGAAAAAACAAATTTTTGTCAACTTAAAAAATATTTTATGCAGTACCTTGAATAAGGAAGGATTTTTGTCGACAGGATGAAATTCGCAATTATCTGTATTTAAATCGGACATTCTTGTAACTTCATTCTTACAGTTTTCATATTCATAAGATTCTTGTTCAGTGTCAGATGTTTTGTGAAGTTTTAAGTGTATTGCACTCTCGGAAATTTTTCCACATCGGCCACAATCAGATCGTTTGGTGTCTGGTTCTTTGTTCGGACTCTAATAATAAAATCGTTTTAAAAATTACTATTAATACACAATAAATAACGAAATTAGTCTTATTATTAATTAAGAGCTATGTGTTTTAAATTTAATATTTTCCATATTTAAATACTATACAGTTTATAATAAAATTGTATTTTAAATTGAAAATAAACATAGTATATATGTATATAGATATAATATGTATATGAATATAAATTGTTCATTGCTATTCCCATACGTCTGAATCTGTGGGATTTATTTTTTATTGTTGGTTACTCTCCTACAAATAAAGCATTGTGTTATAACAAATAGAATAAATGTAGATACTTTTATGGTAGAGATTTGCAGTTAGTGGGAAAATGCCAGAGTTTAACAGGCTGTATGTAGACTTTCAACAGTCATATTCAAAGGTGAAGATGTAGCATGCATCGAGATTATAAATCTGTTGGCTGTAAGTTTTCACCGTCATAGTAATTTAAATTAGGTTACTTGTAAGTTACTCAGCAGCATGCTTTACCTTAAAATATAAACAAGGATCACACAAATACTCTACGTCTAGATTTACGAGACTAGTATTCTCATAGGGATACTAGTCTCGGGTCGGAACTATTCCAGACTAGGATCTACTAAAGAACAGTTCCACATCTAGTGTGGAAACAGTTCGGGTGGTAACTACAAACGCGTTTTTCTTTTTTGCTTTTACCAATTAGTTTTGAATATTTTAAATTTATATTATTATTAAAGTTTGTAATTGTTTGTTTTATTAATAACTTGCAGACATGTTCAATATTTTCCCGCCAAATAGTAAGAACGGTAAACATTAAAATGAAAACCATTTTACTAAATTGCCAAACGATCGCCTAAATATCGGGCTATTATATGGCTACTTAAATGATTAGAAATAAAGCAATTTGTCATAAGAGGTGGGCGTTAGGCGCCATCTCGTAAGTAAATTAATAATTAAAATTAAATAAATAAATAATTAAATTAAATTTAGAACCTTCTGGAATAAAAGAACTGGCCCGGGACGGGCTTGAACCCGCAACCTCCGCTTGCCGTGCAGTGCGCTACCAGTTACGCCACCCGAACCCCGAGCAAGCCTTCGCTTCCAGAGGTATATTAGATTAGATATAACCTTACTTGGTTAAATACATTACTGACTGGAGACTACTTCATCGCCCACGACCCTCAATGGCACTCAACCAGCTAACGTAACACCCGGCGTTACGTTAGGGTATTACGGGATAGTATACGTAATGTATACTATCCCGGATAACTATACGTAATGTATACTATCCCGTATACGTAAAGCCCGGATAGTATACGTAATGTATACTATCCGGGCTTTGTGTTTTGTGACCACAATTGCGTTTGTTTCAAAGTAATTTATGCCATTCGTTTGCCCAACAAACCCTCTCATTTGTCCACTGTTCAAATGAAATTAATACCCATTTAAATTATGGCCAGTTTTATAAAGAGCATCTAAACTTGCATTTTTTTCCAAAACTGCATCGTTTGTTCGCTTATATTGAAAAAATGTATGTTATACGTTTCTCAAACATAAGCTACAACCATTGAGATGTCAGCGAGTGTATTTTTCGCGATAACTTTTGTTTGTTTAAAGTACAAACAAATGTAGAGAGGAATTCATTTGTGATCTTTTCTTTGAGTTTTTATTAAATGGTCATGCTAAAGCTTGGCTACTTGCGGTACACAATTGAAGAGATTATTTCCAAAGTGTCGTATTGCCCAGAAATACAAATTTTCAAAAACCTCAAAATTTAAATAATTGCTTTAAATGTTAAGGTAAAAACTTAATTTTTGATACAGAGCTTTATTTTTATATTCTGTATATAGGTTTAACAGTGAAATAAATTTCGAGGCAAAGGAAATGGTAGTTTTGGTACTTCAAGTCATGGACTTCGCCACTTTGGAATAAAATTGCAGTATTTAAATGGGAAATGTACTAAAAGCAACAAATAGATTGTCAAAAACTTTTAATATATAAAAACAAATAAGAATATACAAAATACGATACAAAACAATGAAAACACACGAACCTTGTTCACACGACTGAACATAATAAAAAAAGTGTAAAAAACTATACTAATTCCAGAAAAAATAAAATAAGTCAATGATTACATAAAATTAATAAAAATCATATTGTAATTGTTCTGTCACAGTATTCATTTAGAATCAGTCACTTTCTAAACAGGAAAACACTTTCTGTAAAATGTCATTGCAGTATGCCCATCACTTATTCCCATTTATTTAAAAGTTTCTTCACATCATCTATCTTTTCCAGCTTAAGTTTATTCTTCAATGGTAACAAATCAACTAATAGATAAGACCAATTTTTAACATTGTATGTTTGCACATCCCCAATCGATCAGAAAATCAAAAAACTGCTGTTTGCAACAAACATATTTATTCTGATTACTTTCATTTCGGATACTTTAAAATTCATTTTTGATTTAATGTGTGAATGAATTGCAAGTTTCCAATTACCAAGTTGCCAGTCTTTACCAAGAATATGAATTTGTCCTATATGTTCAAAAATTTTATTGTAGTTATCTGGTAAAAGAAGTAGTTCAGCTTTTCTTAACATTTTTTAATCCTTCCAAAGGCCTTATCTATGGGTAAATAATGGTAACCCCGCACCATATATTTATCTCAAAAATTACACTATACATATCTGAAAGTTTACTTTGCATTACTAATAATGTGTAGTTTTTGTTTTGTGCGCTGCATCCATCACAAAACCGATTAATTTTTTTCATTTTTCGATTTTTCTTACGAAAATTTCTACAAAATAAGGAAGCGATCTCTTTCTAGCGCATTGACTAAATACTTTTAAACTTTTTCAGAAAATGTGGACGTTATCAAAGAAAAATGAAGAAAACAATCCAACACAATAGCATTTACACTTCAGAAAGCAGTCGTTGACTTTGTAATTGGCTATTATGGAAACGCGACAGTTTGAAATACAAAACGAAAAACGTCACATTTGAAAAGAAATCCAATTTTTTAATACATTTTTCAACAGAAAAAACACCCATTTCGGTAAAAAAAAGTATTGTAGCAATACAGAAAAGCATTATCAATGTGTTGATGCCACGAACTAATAAAAAATAAAAAATGGAGGTATGCCACTTTGGAAATACGCTTTTCAATTCTTTTCGCTGTTGCTATAAAGTAATTAAAATGTGATGATAATTTCTTCAAATGATTTATAATGAAATAAATCTGTAATAAACGCACCGCCAAGTGCGAGTTTGAAAACCCAAATATCGTTTTATTAAAAATTACATTGGCATCGATACAAATTCTTGATAGTAATAGTGATAGCTTCACTATCAAGGAACTAGTAATAGTGATGTCAAGAATTTTTCACCACTATCACAGCTTTTGACGTCAAAACGATGACTTTACGTCCCCGATATCATCACTTTCCATAGCCAAATAATTATGAATATAAAATGTAGTCATTGAATGAAGGTTTTATACTTTTTGTGTTTCGTAAGCATTTAAATTTAAACGGTAATATTTTGAAAACGATTGTTCTACGCGGGCTTGACGGCAGTTTTTGAATCTGTAACGTTTACAGGTATGTTTTTTGGAGATATCGCTGGATTTTTTTTATTTCGTTTGTTTTATAAACAGTTACATTAGTTCACTCGTCTACAGTGTATTTATCCGTAGAAGATTATAAGACAAAAACCGTCACTTACGTAGCAAACTTAGGATTATCCATAGTGATTTACCGTAATTTACATAATCGTATAGGCACATACTTTTTTTTGTCATAACAAGCGCAAATTCAATTATCACTGCTATGCCGAATTTGTATGTGAACGATATTGGATCCGACAGGAAAAATAATTGCAGGAGTTTCGATCTAATTTGGTGGTAACATCGAATAATAATAAGTGTTTGGTAAAATACGAACATAACAAGTCGTTTGCAAATTTTCTAATTTTCTGTTAGGGGCTGTCCGTACGATAACGTCCGCACTTTTCTTGAAATTTTTACTGTCTTTTTATCTCTTGTCCCAGTTTGTCCAAGTTTCCGTAACTTCCTACTCTCTTCGGACGTTTAACAAAACTAGACCCCCCCTTAAACCTTTATCAATTTATGAATGATACATACCATAAATATAAACGATACATATAAGAAACTTTGAATATAATAAAATTTATAAGCTGTATACAAGGGCGGCCCTAGGGCGGTGCGAACGGTGCGACTGCACCGGGCGCCGTCATAGTAAAGGCGCAGAAAATGCAACGATAGATCGTCTGCGAAAAAATAAAACCCGATCACCTTATTACTACTTAACCCTACCCGCCAAAATATATTTTATTTTTTTTCTTAATTTGTTTCAATTTTAAATTAATTTACCATGTAAATTTGTCTTTTGCGTGAGGTGAGAGTTGTCTGTGCCATAGCAGTTTAAATAAATATTGTTATAAATATTGCCTTATGAAAAAAATTAAATAAATATTGCCTTATGAAAAAAATATTGTTTTTTTCCACTGTCATTGTTCCTCATCCATACTAGTACTATGCTATAGATTTTACACAAGAGTGAGCTGGGTTGTGAGAATATAAAACATGATCCTGAAATGTGTGCTATATTTCCATAACCTAAAATTAAGAGATTCCATCGACGGAGGGGAGGGAAAAAAACGTCAACAGCTTGCGATACGTCTGAATTAACAAATGTCAAGTTAACTCTCCATTTACCGTCGTTATCGTTTCTCATCCATAATATTACTATACTAATCTTTCGGAGGTCTGCGTTAATAATGTGAAAAATGTACGTTATCAGTTTAGTCTCTACAGGGAGGCGCCACAATGAGATCTCGCACCACCTCAAAACCTGGCTACGGCCACCACTGACTGCATATAATTTAATAACATAAACGTTCGTCCACTAAAGCTCCACGCCCCTTGTCCGACTTATCGTAATCTCCTCTTTCCCTTCCAATGTGGACAGCCTATGAAATAATTGTTTTTTCATTAGCAGACAGTTCAGTCCATAATTTAATTTGAATAATCCGTAATTTAATAAAACTGAAATAATGAAATTAATCTCACGAGATGTTTTCAAAATTGAATACCTATCCAATAAACGACAAACATGCAGTGGATCCTTCTAATTTCCAACAATCCAGAGATAGTTCCGATCAAAGCTGCTTCGGACTCCAGACTAATAAAAACAGCTCCACATCGAGTAATCACACAGTTCTGGTTCCGGAACTACCAATCCGTAATCTTAATTTTGTAAATTTATGAATACAGCTTTTAACGAAACGGTGAAATCTTTATCTGGATTTGAACATCAAACTAGTTGACAATGTCCCGCTACTTTTAACGTACTGTTATTATGCCGAAGTGTCAAGAAAATCAAGTCAAGAAGACAGTGGGGCATTCAGATTTCACGGAAGTCTATATATTTTCTCCGAGTCCCGGAGAATAATTCGGTGAAGATGAACCAAAAAACTAACAGAAACACTTCCCGATAAAACATAATAATTTCGTGAAACCGTGTAGTACAACAAAATAAGCAGTTCTGAGAAACCGTTTCGTCAGAATAGTTTCACAAAATCAGTTCCAACAGTTCTAGTTACAGCAGAAGCGGAAATGAATTTCTTCCATCTGTAGTACAGAGTTCGAACATTATATTAATATAGACTAATACAATTTAAATAAGTTCAATATTTTGTTGTATAAAACTTTAAATTTTGTCAAAAAAAAAAACAAAATAGAATTAAAATGACATACATAATGACGAGTGGACATTTTTAGAAACGGAAGTTTTTCTACCGATGGATAAAAGACTTTTTAGGTGAAATGAAATGCATGGATTAAAATCAATATATCGGGAACGAATGAACGGAACTCGTTGGAATTTGATACACAAGTCGAAAAAAATCGCACATGACAACGATACTGGTGTATTTTTGGTTTTTTAATAAAATGTCAATTGGGATAGAAAGTGTTGTAATTCCAGTATAGTCAGGTTGGCTTTGTTCAGCCGTTCGTTCGATTGCTCGCTCGCTTACTTGACGGCTTGCCTCTACCCAGCCTTATGATTAGTTTCAATTTTGGTTTTATTCTTGGATTCTGTAAATTAGCGAAGTTACATTGATTGTTTCACAGCACGCATAACATTAATTGTATGTATCCTGGTATAATTATGCCGCATTTTTTCGCTTTACAAATTTTGATTAGCATAACTAACGAGTAGTAAGCATAATAATATAGAAAACTCTAATAATACTTACTTTAGAAACATTTCCTTTAGGGTGATGCACAGACATGTGTTGCTCGATATTACTTAGCCACAAAGTAGTAAATTTGCAACCTTCGTAATCGCACGAGAATAGTTTTTTTCTTGAATGACAGTTTAGGTGATTTCTCAGTGTGAAGCTATTGGCGTATCGTTTACTGCAAAGCTCACAAACATAAGGCCTTTCGTCAGTGTGTCTAAGCATGTGGTTTTGTAAATACGCTTTTTGCCGAAATTTTTTTTTGCACACGGTGCATTCATATATGTTGTCTTCGTCCTTTAAAAAAATTCGATAAACAAAATTAATTAATAAATGAAAATCTGTATAAGAAATTATGAAAATAGTATAAATTATTATCTAAATATATAAAACTAGCTGTTACCCGCGAGTTCGCCCGTGCTAATTTTGCAAGCAAATCCTATTTATATTCAGTATTTCAACAACTATAGTAATTGCTATATAACACCTACCGCTAAGAACGATGAGAATTGCTGAAAATCAAACGAACTGTTTTCAATTTGATCAATTTTCTGGGACGTTTAAAATTGTTCTATAATCGAACCAATATGCAATAACAAATTCGAATTTAAAACGGTTCGAACATTTCGTTAAAAATTGAAAAACGTAATAAAACTTATAAAAATGTCTGAAATGTTATCAATTTAACACACTGAAGTACTCATTGAAAACTAAACGTAGTTAAAAACAAAAAATCGCATCCAAAGTAGTACAGTAAAAGCCATTCTTCCGGTTAATCGTTAATCCTCTCCCTCTCCCCCCGCGGGGGAATGTCGAAATATCTGTTCTTAGTGTGCGTTTTCGTGACGGACACTAACTGTGTACCAAATTTCATTTCTTAGTTCAGTGGTTTGCTCTGGGCGATGATGAATTAATCACTCAGTCAATCACTCAGTCAGTCAGGACTAGTAATCTAAATGTATAAAATTACTTGTCCTGACTGAATGACTGATTTATCATCGCCCAGAGCAAACCGATGAACTAAAAGAGGTGAAATTTGGTACACAGTTAGGATACGTCATGAAAACGCACACTAAGAAAAGATTTTTCAAAATTCCCCCCACGGGAGGAGAGGATTAAGGCTTAACCCGAAGAATAGCTTCTACTGTACTATTTTAAATGCGATTTTTTGTTTTTAACTACGTTTAGTTTTCAATGAGTACTTCAGTGTGTTAAATTGATAACATTTCAGACATTGTTATAAATATTTTTATATATTTCGATTTTTTAGCCAAATGTTTGAGCCGTTTTAAATTCGGATTTGTTATTGCGTATTGGTTCGATTACAGAACGATTGTAAACGTTCCAGAAAATTGATCAAATTGAAAACAGTTGGTTTGATTCTCAGCAATTCTCAACATTCACAGCGGTACGTGTTATATAACAATTACTATGGTTGTTGAAATACTTAATATAAAAAGGGTTTGCTGGCAAAATCCGCGCGGGCCAAGTCGCGGGTAACAGCTAGTAGTATATAAAAAGATTGTAATAAAATATGTAAAATATGTACAGTAGATTCTCGATAGCTCGAGTTCATCGAGAATGATGACACAAACTGAACTATTACAATCGCGAAGTGTACAAAATATTTATATGTTAAAAAACAGTAGCAAGTTCAATTCAAGTCCTTATTACATATACTGTACCGTACCTTAGTTCGTTACAAGAAGGTTAGACTATAATTTAAAAGTAAAGTTAGTAACATTTAACAAATTGACATAATATTAATATTTATAGATTAGTACCAAATAATACAAAATAATAATAAATCTTTGAAAAGCACGATAAATTAGTTATATGCCTCTAGTTCTTAACTTTTTTTTATCTGCTCAAAGCACAATCTTATTACAGAAAATCCTTGTTAGTTCGAAATTCAACGAACAAAACATTCGCGAGTTAGATTAATCAAGTTTCTAGTTATTCGAGATTTACATATTTCTGTGCAACATGCCAAATGCCATGTAACTCTTGTGGTTTATTTAGCAAACAAAATACGGCTACAAATACAAAACTCTATTTTCGTCAAATTAATTCGTTAATAATTAATAATATAAATAAACTGCAGGTAAACAGCGACTCATTATCATAAGCTGAAATACAACATCGACTAATTTGCAAGTGCGTCCAGTGAAATGATCAAAAATGACTTAAAGTATAAAATTGCCCAATACTTGTTTGTTTAGTTAAGTTACGGCAACGCAACGCTTGGACGATCTGCTTAGAGAAATGCCTTCCGGGAGGTCTTTTTAAAGGTGACTGGTCCCTATGATGGAGTTACAGGCGTGGAGAAAACCCGAAAACTTCACGTGGTGAGGCGCGAACTCACGACCCAACTCCCGGTGTTCATGGTAAGGTACTGCTCGGCCACGCCACTGTGGCCCTTGCCGATTTCTAGTTACTCGATAAAAAAATCATGACACATGCATGCGAAGTCATTTAGTAACATGTCGGTGAAGCGAGTAAAAATTCATCGTCAATTATAGTAGCACTTCGAACTAACGATTAATTTTTCGGATAAACATAGAAATATGATATTTGGAAAAATTCATATCTCATTTACAGAAAAAGATAGGCAACAACTGTGAAAGGATTAGACCATATACCTGAACATCAATGGCACTTGTAAAATTGAAACCGCATAAAATTGCAATTAAGATATATTTGTTTCAAATAATAAATAAAACATCTAATCAGCAGTCTAATAACGGGTTGGTTTTTTATAGAAAAATTATTTATTTAAAGTGTGTATTTAGTTTGGTTTAGATTGTTACGACAACGCGTGACGTGGGTTATCTACCGAGGAAGATGACCCCGGAAGAACTATTGTGCGAAACTGGGTCCAATTTATACGTAACACAGATGAAGAAATCCCGGAAAATTCGACGTAGCAGCCCTTAGGTGAGACGAACCCACGACCAACTACCGGTATTCAGTGGTTTTATCAATTGGGCTACTTGTAAGCAATGCACTATATTTACATGCAATATATTTTTGTGTGTATGAATGCTTCTTTGCTGTAGATCTGTAAAAGTATAGCTGATTGGAACATTATATTATTAATTCTAAGTTTTGGAAGAAAAGATAATAAATACAAATTCATATATTAACTTAATCTGAATAATTATTCAATGGAAAGAAAGGAAATGAATTTGATCGTCGTTAACTTTAATTCACTTATAATATATAAAAATAAATTTTAAGCAAGAAAATAATAATAAAATATACGTATATGTTAACGAAAATCTTAAAAAAGTGTCATTTTGGATACGTCAAACGACACAGTAATTTTAATATTGATGCCGGCTGTTTAAGCTGAAGATACTCAGTGTTTTCACGAACAGTAGTAAATTACTGTATATTTATATTACTGAATAATATTAACAAAGAAAAATATTCTTTCTCCATAATATATTATTGATTATATTAATAATCTACTTCAGTGTTTTTCAACCTTTTCGAATAAGCGACCCCTTTACAAGTTAAAAAATACTGGAGACCCCCAGGGCCATATTAAAACTATGTCTGTAATTTTAGAATCTACGTGTTCAAGTTTTTTTCTGTGAGACCTAAATATCGATCAAAAAACCAGTTCTACTGTAAAATAAACAGGCACAACCTTCTCACTGAGGGTGTAGTTTTTTTTATTGTAGTGTAGGACCTACAAACGCTTGTCTTTTTTTTAACCCGCGACCCCCGTTTTAGGCTTTGGGGCCCCCTTGGGGTCGCGACCCACAGGTTGAAAAACACTGATCTATTCAACAACATTACTTCTAAAGTAGTTGCTTACGCCGATGATAATACGTTTTTAAACCGTGACCCTAATGTGTAACAAAATGACTTAACATCTTATCTACTGCTTTCAACAAGGCGAACCTAAAAATTAATATTTATAAAACTATTGCAACGTGTTTTCAATTAGTTCACAATCCGCCTCTCCCTCTACCTTTTACTGAATAAATTTAGCAATCTACCTTTTACACAGAATTCTGATGTCACTAAAGTCAGACTCGGTTTGCCTGATGTGAAAAACAAAGAATTAAATACTTTGATCGTGTTTAAATTAAACTTTTAAATATTTTAATGAATTATTAAACAACTATTGGCGTAAACTACGCAAATTCACTATTTGCCACGTTTACACACTTCTTTTTACAGTCTGTTATTAACTCTCGAAGATCATTTTGATCGTTGCATAGAACATACGTCTCCTGTTGAAAATCATTTCGATTTCTCAAAGTCCAATAGCATTTGTCAATATATTATTCATTAATATCGTAAATTGCCCATTACACAAGTGAATTTATTACGCTTAATACCCTCTGATTTTATGAATGATTCCAGATTACTCTTGTCAGTGTGAGGTTTGAGAGAATCTTCTTCCACAGAAAATACTAGAAACCACAAACCACAGAAATATTTTAATGTTATAATCCCATTAAAAATAACAACCAAAATGTTTCGATTTTTTAAGGTAATAATAATTATTGGTTATTAATTAATTTTATGCTTGCTTTCCTTAAATTAGCAAAGTTTTATTGATTATTTCATAACACTTATAAAATTAATTATATCTTGTATTTATTCTGATATAATTATGTTGCATTTGTTCCTTTAATGAATTTTCTCAACGTAACTACCGAATAATAAGCATAATAATATAGAAAATACTAGTAATACTCACTTTAGGAACATTTCCTTTAGGGCGATGCACAGACATGTGTCGCCGGATACTAGTTAGCCATAAAGTAGTAAATTTGCAACCTTCGTAATCGCACGAGAATGATTTTTCTTTTGAATGAGAGTTTAGGTGCTGTCTCAAATAGGATCTATCGCTAAATCCGATTTTGCAAAGCTGACAAACATAAGGCCTTTCACCAGTGTGTCTACGCATGTGCACTTTTAAAAGGTATTCCTTCTGAAATTGTTTTTTGCACACGGTGCATTCGAATTTCTTGTTTCGATCCTTTTAAAACAATTCAATAAATAAAAATAATTAATTAATAAAATTCTACACATTAACTCAAGATTATTTTAGTTACATTCTAAAAATAAATTTTTAAGACAATACAAACAATGTTTGAGCCCTTTTCGCTATTTATATCTTTTTATTCCAATCCAGGAAGCACAGAAAACAAGGGACTTGAAGTAAAAGTTGTAAAAACGACAGACGAAATATTATCAAACAATTTACACTGTTTTACACTGACGTCGACCTGTTTTTGTATGCTACGACGTCTACAAACATTAAAAATCCTTCAAAATCCTTCACGACAGCATCCATGTTATGTAATCGCATTTTAGCTGAGAGTCCTCTAATATAATTCTGCGCTAATATGTATAATTATGCAAATAATTTCTGGGCTGCCCGAAAATTCGCCAGAAAACTCTCAGCTTCAGTGCGGTTGTTTATGCTTCCTGGATTGGAATAAAAGGATATAAATAGAAAAAAGACCCAAACATTGTTTTTATTGTCTTAAAAATTCTTATTAATAAAATTATTTAAGATACTATAAATTATTATCGTATATCAAAACGTTATAACAAATTATGTACAGTAGATTCTCGACAGTTCGAGTTTATCGAGAATGACAGAAACTGAGCTATCAAAATCTGGAAGTGCACAGAATATTTATACAATAGAATACAGTAGTAAGTTCAATACAACTTTTGAATGTAGAGGAGAAGGTGGTATTATGGAACCTCATTTTCAATATAGTGAATTGTAAACAAGGTATTATAACTACACCCACATTTTTTGTGCGAAAAGTACTGGTAACTATTAAACTAAATGTTCCTAATTGAATTTTTCGCAAGTGTAACCATAAGTATGATTTTTAAAGGCTTCTGTAAAAAAAGTCACAAAGTAGGCTTAGGGAAAACCGGGTGGTAATATGGAACCTTAATGTATGTTTTTAAAAAATTCTTTAATGTATCTGTTACCGTTAAAGCTCGAAATCCGTTAATGTGCACATTACCTAGCTAATCCGCAGATTAACTAGGGTGACCCGTTAAAGCTGCGAAAATTATTCCATTTCTCAAATTACCTAGGAAATGCTCAGATTATCTAGGTAATCCGCAAATTACCTACTAGGCACTCGGTAAAGTGAAAATAAGATTTTTGCTGGAACAACAGCAACGTTTCTGTATGCTTAAATTAACATAAAATGTTATTTATTTAATTTTCAATATCTAAAGAATCAAGTTAATACAATCAACAAATTAGTTGATTGAATCAAATCATCAATCAATNGCGTTAGGCGCCATCTCGTAAGTAAATTAATAATTAAAATTAAATAAATAAATAATTAAATTAAATTTAGAACCTTCTGGAATAAAAGAACTGGCCCGGGACGGGCTTGAACCCGCAACCTCCGCTTGCCGTGCAGTGCGCTACCAGTTACGCCACCCGAACCCCGAGCAAGCCTTCGCTTCCAGAGGTATATTAGATTAGATATAACCTTACTTGGTTAAATACATTACTGACTGGAGACTACTTCATCGCCCACGACCCTCAATGGCACTCAGCCAGCTAACGTAACACCCGGCGTTACGTTAGGGTATTACGGGATAGTATACGTAATGTATACTATCCCGGATAACTATACGTAATGTATACTATCCCGTATACGTAAAGCCCGGATAGTATACGTAATGTATACTATCCGGGCTTTGTGTTGTTGTGACCACAATTGCGTTTGTTTCAAAGTAATTTATGCCATTCGTTTGCCCAACAAACCCTCTCATTTGTCCACTGTTCAAATGAAATTAATACCCATTTAAATTATGGCCAGTTTTATAAAGAGCATCCAAACTTGCATTTTTTTCCAAAACTGCATCGTTTGTTCGCTTATATTGAAAAAATGTATGTTATACGTTTCTCAAACATAAGCTACAACCATTGAGATGTCAGCGAGTGTATTTTTCGCGATAACTTTTGTTTGTTTAAAGTACAAACAAATGTAGAGAGGAATTCATTTGTGATCTTTTCTTTGAGTTTTTATTAAATGGTCATGCTAAAGCTTGGCTACTTGCGGTACACAATTGAAGAGATTATTTCCAAAGTGTCGTATTGCCCAGAAATACAAATTTTCAAAAACCTCAAAATTTAAATAATTGCTTTAAATGTTAAGGTAAAAACTTAATTTTTGATACAGAGCTTTATTTTTATATTCTGTATATAGGTTTAACAGTGAAATAAATTTCGAGGCAAAGGAAATGGTAGTTTTGGTACTTCAAGTCATGGACTTCGCCACTTTGGAATAAAATTGCAGTATTTAAATGGGAAATGTACTAAAAGCAACAAATAGATTGTCAAAAACTTTTAATATATAAAAACAAATAAGAATATACAAAATACGATACAAAACAATGAAAACACACGAACCTTGTTCACACGACTGAACATAATAAAAAAAAGTGTAAAAAACTATACTAATTCCAGAAAAAATAAAATAAGTCAATGATTACATAAAATTAATAAAAATCATATTGTAATTGTTCTGTCACAGTATTCATTTAGAATCAGTCACTTTCTAAACAGGAAAACACTTTCTGTAAAATGTCATTGCAGTATGCCCATCACTTATTCCCATTTATTTAAAAGTTTCTTCACATCATCTATCTTTTCCAGCTTAAGTTTATTCTTCAATGGTAACAAATCAACTAATAGATAAGACCAATTTTTAACATTGTATGTTTGCACATCCCCAATCGATCAGAAAATCAAAAAACTGCTGTTTGCAACAAACATATTTATTCTGATTACTTTCATTTCGGATACTTTAAAATTCATTTTTGATTTAATGTGTGAATGAATTGCAAGTTTCCAATTACCAAGTTGCCAGTCTTTACCAAGAATATGAATTTGTCCTATATGTTCAAAAATTTTATTGTAGTTATCTGGTAAAAGAAGTAGTTCAGCTTTTCTTAACATTTTTTAATCCTTCCAAAGGCCTTATCTATGGGTAAATAATGGTAACCCCGCACCATATATTTATCTCAAAAATTACACTATACATATCTGAAAGTTTACTTTGCATTACTAATAATGTGTAGTTTTTGTTTTGTGCGCTGCATCCATCACAAAACCGATTAATTTTTTTCATTTTTCGATTTTTCTTACGAAAATTTCTACAAAATAAGGAAGCGATCTCTTTCTAGCGCATTGACTAAATACTTTTAAACTTTTTCAGAAAATGTGGACGTTATCAAAGAAAAATGAAGAAAACAATCCAACACAATAGCATTTACACTTCAGAAAGCAGTCGTTGACTTTGTAATTGGCTATTATGGAAACGCGACAGTTTGAAATACAAAACGAAAAACGTCACATTTGAAAAGAAATCCAATTTTTTAATACATTTTTCAACAGAAAAAACACCCATTTCGGTAAAAAAAAGTATTGTAGCAATACAGAAAAGCATTATCAATGTGTTGATGCCACGAACTAATAAAAAATAAAAAATGGAGGTATGCCACTTTGGAAATACGCTTTTCAATTCTTTTCGCTGTTGCTATAAAGTAATTAAAATGTGATGATAATTTCTTCAAATGATTTATAATGAAATAAATCTGTAATAAACGCACCGCCAAGTGCGAGTTTGAAAACCCAAATATCGTTTTATTAAAAATTACATTGGCATCGATACAAATTCTTGATAGTAATAGTGATAGCTTCACTATCAAGGAACTAGTAATAGTGATGTCAAGAATTTTTCACCACTATCACAGCTTTTGACGTCAAAACGATGACTTTACGTCCCCGATATCATCACTTTCCATAGCCAAATAATTATGAATATAAAATGTAGTCATTGAATGAAGGTTTTATACTTTTTGTGTTTCGTAAGCATTTAAATTTAAACGGTAATATTTTGAAAACGATTGTTCTACGCGGGCTTGACGGCAGTTTTTGAATCTGTAACGTTTACAGGTATGTTTTTTGGAGATATCGCTGGATTTTTTTTATTTCGTTTGTTTTATAAACAGTTACATTAGTTCACTCGTCTACAGTGTATTTATCCGTAGAAGATTATAAGACAAAAACCGTCACTTACGTAGCAAACTTAGGATTATCCATAGTGATTTACCGTAATTTACATAATCGTATAGGCACATACTTTTTTTTGTCATAACAAGCGCAAATTCAATTATCACTGCTATGCCGAATTTGTATGTGAACGATATTGGATCCGACAGGAAAAATAATTGCAGGAGTTTCGATCTAATTTGGTGGTAACATCGAATAATAATAAGTGTTTGGTAAAATACGAACATAACAAGTCGTTTGCAAATTTTCTAATTTTCTGTTAGGGGCTGTCCGTACGATAACGTCCGCACTTTTCTTGAAATTTTTACTGTCTTTTTATCTCTTGTCCCAGTTTGTCCAAGTTTCCGTAACTTCCTACTCTCTTCGGACGTTTAACAAAACTAGACCCCCCCTTAAACCTTTATCAATTTATGAATGATACATACCATAAATATAAACGATACATATAAGAAACTTTGAATATAATAAAATTTATAAGCTGTATACAAGGGCGGCCCTAGGGCGGTGCGAACGGTGCGACTGCACCGGGCGCCGTCATAGTAAAGGCGCAGAAAATGCAACGATAGATCGTCTGCGAAAAAATAAAACCCGATCACCTTATTACTACTTAACCCTACCCGCCAAAATATATTTTTTTTTTCTTAATTTGTTTCAATTTTAAATTAATTTACCATGTAAATTTGTCTTTTGCGTGAGGTGAGAGTTGTCTGTGCCATAGCAGTTTAAATAAATATTGTTATAAATATTGCCTTATGAAAAAAATTAAATAAATATTGCCTTATGAAAAAAATATTGTTTTTTTCCACTGTCATTGTTCCTCATCCATACTAGTACTATGCTATAGATTTTACACAAGAGTGAGCTGGGTTGTGAGAATATAAAACATGATCCTGAAATGTGTGCTATATTTCCATAACCTAAAATTAAGAGATTCCATCGACGGAGGGGAGGGAAAAAAACGTCAACAGCTTGCGATACGTCTGAATTAACAAATGTCAAGTTAACTCTCCATTTACCGTCGTTATCGTTTCTCATCCATAATATTACTATACTAATCTTTCGGAGGTCTGCGTTAATAATGTGAAAAATGTACGTTATCAGTTTAGTCTCTACAGGGAGGCGCCACAATGAGATCTCGCACCACCTCAAAACCTGGCTACGGCCACCACTGACTGCATATAATTTAATAACATAAACGTTCGTCCACTAAAGCTCCACGCCCCTTGTCCGACTTATCGTAATCTCCTCTTTCCCTTCCAATGTGGACAGCCTATGAAATAATTGTTTTTTCATTAGCAGACAGTTCAGTCCATAATTTAATTTGAATAATCCGTAATTTAATAAAACTGAAATAATGAAATTAATCTCACGAGATGTTTTCAAAATTGAATACCTATCCAATAAACGACAAACATGCAGTGGATCCTTCTAATTTCCAACAATCCAGAGATAGTTCCGATCAAAGCTGCTTCGGACTCCAGACTAATAAAAACAGCTCCACATCGAGTAATCACACAGTTCTGGTTCCGGAACTACCAATCCGTAATCTTAATTTTGTAAATTTATGAATACAGCTTTTAACGAAACGGTGAAATCTTTATCTGGATTTGAACATCAAACTAGTTGACAATGTCCCGCTACTTTTAACGTACTGTTATTATGCCGAAGTGTCAAGAAAATCAAGTCAAGAAGACAGTGGGGCATTCAGATTTCACGGAAGTCTATATATTTTCTCCGAGTCCCGGAGAATAATTCGGTGAAGATGAACCAAAAAACTAACAGAAACACTTCCCGATAAAACATAATAATTTCGTGAAACCGTGTAGTACAACAAAATAAGCAGTTCTGAGAAACCGTTTCGTCAGAATAGTTTCACAAAATCAGTTCCAACAGTTCTAGTTACAGCAGAAGCGGAAATGAATTTCTTCCATCTGTAGTACAGAGTTCGAACATTATATTAATATAGACTAATACAATTTAAATAAGTTCAATATTTTGTTGTATAAAACTTTAAATTTTGTCAAAAAAAAAAACAAAATAGAATTAAAATGACATACATAATGACGAGTGGACATTTTTAGAAACGGAAGTTTTTCTACCGATGGATAAAAGACTTTTTAGGTGAAATGAAATGCATGGATTAAAATCAATATATCGGGAACGAATGAACGGAACTCGTTGGAATTTGATACACAAGTCGAAAAAAATCGCACATGACAACGATACTGGTGTATTTTTGGTTTTTTAATAAAATGTCAATTGGGATAGAAAGTGTTGTAATTCCAGTATAGTCAGGTTGGCTTTGTTCAGCCGTTCGTTCGATTGCTCGCTCGCTTACTTGACGGCTTGCCTCTACCCAGCCTTATGATTAGTTTCAATTTTGGTTTTATTCTTGGATTCTGTAAATTAGCGAAGTTACATTGATTGTTTCACAGCACGCATAACATTAATTGTATGTATCCTGGTATAATTATGCCGCATTTTTTCGCTTTACAAATTTTGATTAGCATAACTAACGAGTAGTAAGCATAATAATATAGAAAACTCTAATAATACTTACTTTAGAAACATTTCCTTTAGGGTGATGCACAGACATGTGTTGCTCGATATTACTTAGCCACAAAGTAGTAAATTTGCAACCTTCGTAATCGCACGAGAATAGTTTTTTTCTTGAATGAGAGTTTAGGTGATTTCTCAGTGTGAAGCTATTGGCGTATCGTTTACTGCAAAGCTCACAAACATAAGGCCTTTCGTCAGTGTGTCTAAGCATGTGGTTTTGTAAATACGCTTTTTGCCGAAATTTTTTTTTGCACACGGTGCATTCATATATGTTGTCTTCGTCCTTTAAAAAAATTCGATAAACAAAATTAATTAATAAATGAAAATCTGTATAAGAAATTATGAAAATAGTATAAATTATTATCTAAATATATAAAACTAGCTGTTACCCGCGAGTTCGCCCGTGCTAATTTTGCAAGCAAATCCTATTTATATTCAGTATTTCAACAACTATAGTAATTGCTATATAACACCTACCGCTAAGAACGATGAGAATTGCTGAAAATCAAACGAACTGTTTTCAATTTGATCAATTTTCTGGGACGTTTAAAATTGTTCTATAATCGAACCAATATGCAATAACAAATTCGAATTTAAAACGGTTCGAACATTTCGTTAAAAATTGAAAAACGTAATAAAACTTATAAAAATGTCTGAAATGTTATCAATTTAACACACTGAAGTACTCATTGAAAACTAAACGTAGTTAAAAACAAAAAATCGCATCCAAAGTAGTACAGTAAAAGCCATTCTTCCGGTTAATCGTTAATCCTCTCCCTCTCCCCCCGCGGGGGAATGTCGAAATATCTGTTCTTAGTGTGCGTTTTCGTGACGGACACTAACTGTGTACCAAATTTCATTTCTTAGTTCAGTGGTTTGCTCTGGGCGATGATGAATTAATCACTCAGTCAATCACTCAGTCAGTCAGGACTAGTAATCTAAATGTATAAAATTACTTGTCCTGACTGAATGACTGATTTATCATCGCCCAGAGCAAACCGATGAACTAAAAGAGGTGAAATTTGGTACACAGTTAGGATACGTCATGAAAACGCACACTAAGAAAAGATTTTTCAAAATTCCCCCCACGGGAGGAGAGGATTAAGGCTTAACCCGAAGAATAGCTTCTACTGTACTATTTTAAATGCGATTTTTTGTTTTTAACTACGTTTAGTTTTCAATGAGTACTTCAGTGTGTTAAATTGATAACATTTCAGACATTGTTATAAATATTTTTATATATTTCGATTTTTTAGCCAAATGTTTGAGCCGTTTTAAATTCGGATTTGTTATTGCGTATTGGTTCGATTACAGAACGATTGTAAACGTTCCAGAAAATTGATCAAATTGAAAACAGTTGGTTTGATTCTCAGCAATTCTCAACATTCACAGCGGTACGTGTTATATAACAATTACTATGGTTGTTGAAATACTTAATATAAAAAGGGTTTGCTGGCAAAATCCGCGCGGGCCAAGTCGCGGGTAACAGCTAGTAGTATATAAAAAGATTGTAATAAAATATGTAAAATATGTACAGTAGATTCTCGATAGCTCGAGTTCATCGAGAATGATGACACAAACTGAACTATTACAATCGCGAAGTGTACAAAATATTTATATGTTAAAAAACAGTAGCAAGTTCAATTCAAGTCCTTATTACATATACTGTACCGTACCTTAGTTCGTTACAAGAAGGTTAGACTATAATTTAAAAGTAAAGTTAGTAACATTTAACAAATTGACATAATATTAATATTTATAGATTAGTACCAAATAATACAAAATAATAATAAATCTTTGAAAAGCACGATAAATTAGTTATATGCCTCTAGTTCTTAACTTTTTTTTATCTGCTCAAAGCACAATCTTATTACAGAAAATCCTTGTTAGTTCGAAATTCAACGAACAAAACATTCGCGAGTTAGATTAATCAAGTTTCTAGTTATTCGAGATTTACATATTTCTGTGCAACATGCCAAATGCCATGTAACTCTTGTGGTTTATTTAGCAAACAAAATACGGCTACAAATACAAAACTCTATTTTCGTCAAATTAATTCGTTAATAATTAATAATATAAATAAACTGCAGGTAAACAGCGACTCATTATCATAAGCTGAAATACAACATCGACTAATTTGCAAGTGCGTCCAGTGAAATGATCAAAAATGACTTAAAGTATAAAATTGCCCAATACTTGTTTGTTTAGTTAAGTTACGGCAACGCAACGCTTGGACGATCTGCTTAGAGAAATGCCTTCCGGGAGGTCTTTTTAAAGGTGACTGGTCCCTATGATGGAGTTACAGGCGTGGAGAAAACCCGAAAACTTCACGTGGTGAGGCGCGAACTCACGACCCAACTCCCGGTGTTCATGGTAAGGTACTGCTCGGCCACGCCACTGTGGCCCTTGCCGATTTCTAGTTACTCGATAAAAAAATCATGACACATGCATGCGAAGTCATTTAGTAACATGTCGGTGAAGCGAGTAAAAATTCATCGTCAATTATAGTAGCACTTCGAACTAACGATTAATTTTTCGGATAAACATAGAAATATGATATTTGGAAAAATTCATATCTCATTTACAGAAAAAGATAGGCAACAACTGTGAAAGGATTAGACCATATACCTGAACATCAATGGCACTTGTAAAATTGAAACCGCATAAAATTGCAATTAAGATATATTTGTTTCAAATAATAAATAAAACATCTAATCAGCAGTCTAATAACGGGTTGGTTTTTTATAGAAAAATTATTTATTTAAAGTGTGTATTTAGTTTGGTTTAGATTGTTACGACAACGCGTGACGTGGGTTATCTACCGAGGAAGATGACCCCGGAAGAACTATTGTGCGAAACTGGGTCCAATTTATACGTAACACAGATGAAGAAATCCCGGAAAATTCGACGTAGCAGCCCTTAGGTGAGACGAACCCACGACCAACTACCGGTATTCAGTGGTTTTATCAATTGGGCTACTTGTAAGCAATGCACTATATTTACATGCAATATATTTTTGTGTGTATGAATGCTTCTTTGCTGTAGATCTGTAAAAGTATAGCTGATTGGAACATTGTATTATTAATTCTAAGTTTTGGAAGAAAAGATAATAAATACAAATTCATATATTAACTTAATCTGAATAATTATTCAATGGAAAGAAAGGAAATGAATTTGATCGTCGTTAACTTTAATTCACTTATAATATATAAAAATAAATTTTAAGCAAGAAAATAATAATAAAATATACGTATATGTTAACGAAAATCTTAAAAAAAGTGTCATTTTGGATACGTCAAACGACACAGTAATTTTAATATTAAGCCGGCTGTTTAAGCTGAAGATGCTCAGTGTTTTCACGAACAGTAGTAAATTACTGTATATTTATATTACTGAATAATATTAACAAAGAAAAACATTCTTTCTCCATAATATATTATTGATTATATTAATAATCTACTTCAGTGTTTTTCAACCTTTTCGAATAAGCGACCCCTTTACAAGTTAAAAAATACTGGAGACCCCCAGGGCCATATTAAAACTATGTCTGTAATTTTAGAATCTACGTGTTCAAGTTTTTTTCTGTGAGACCTAAATATCGATAAAAAAACCAGTTCTACTGTAAAATAAACAGGCACAACCTTCTCACTGAGGGTGTAGTTCTTTTTATTGTAGTGTAGGACCTACAAACGCTTGTCTTTTTTTTAACCCGCGACCCCCGGTGTAAGACTTCGCGACCACCTGGGGTCGCGACCCACAGGTTGAAAAACACTGATCTATTCAACAACATTACTTCTAAAGTAGTTGCTTACGCCGATGATAATACGTTTTTAAACCGTGACCCTAATGTGTAACAAAATGACTTAACATCTTATCTACTGCTTTCAACAAGGCGAACCTAAAAATTAATATTTATAAAACTATTGCAACGTGTTTTCAATTAGTTCACAATCCGCCTCTCCCTCTACCTTTTACTGAATAAATTTAGCAATCTACCTTTTACACAGAATTCTGATGTCACTAAAGTCAGACTCGGTTTGCCTGATGTGAAAACAAAGAATTAAATACTTTGATCGTGTTTAAATTAAACTTTTAAATATTTTAATGCATTATTAAACAACTATTGGCGTAAACTACGCAAATTCACTATTTGCCACGTTTACACACTTCTTTTTACAGTCTGTTATTAACTCTCGAAGATCATTTTGATCGTTGCATAGAACATACGTCCCCTGTTGAAAATCATTTCGATTTCTCAAAGTCCAATAGCATTTGTCAATATATTATTCATTAATATCGTAAATTGCCCATTACACAAGTGAATTTATTACGCTTAATACCCTCTGATTTTATGAATGATTCCAGATTACTCTTGTCAGTGTGAGGTTTGAGAGAATCTTCTTCCACAGAAAATACTAGAAACCACAAACCACAGAAATATTTTAATGTTATAATCCCATTAAAAATAACAACCAAAATGTTTCGATTTTTTAAGGTAATAATAATTATTGGTTATTAATTAATTTTATGCTTGCTTTCCTTAAATTAGCAAAGTTTTATTGATTATTTCATAACACTTATAAAATTAATTATATCTTGTATTTATTCTGATATAATTATGTTGCATTTGTTCCTTTAATGAATTTTCTCAACATAACTACCGAATAATAAGCATAATAATATAGAAAATACTAGTAATACTCACTTTAGGAACATTTCCTTTAGGGCGATGCACAGACATGTGTCGCCGGATACTAGTTAGCCATAAAGTAGTAAATTTGCAACCTTCGTAATCGCACGAGAATGATTTTTCTTTTGAATGAGAGTTTAGGTGCTGTCTCAAATAGGATCTATCGCTAAATCCGATTTTGCAAAGCTGACAAACATAAGGCCTTTCACCAGTGTGTCTACGCATGTGCACTTTTAAAAGGTATTCCTTCTGAAATTGTTTTTTGCACACGGTGCATTCGAATTTCTTGTTTCGATCCTTTTAAAACAATTCAATAAATAAAAATAATTAATTAATAAAATTCTACACATTAACTCAAGATTATTTTAGTTACATTCTAAAAATAAATTTTTAAGACAATACAAACAATGTTTGAGCCCTTTTCGCTATTTATATCTTTTTATTCCAATCCAGGAAGCACAGAAAACAAGGGACTTGAAGTAAAAGTTGTAAAAACGACAGACGAAATATTATCAAACAATTTACACTGTTTTACACTGACGTCGACCTGTTTTTGTATGCTACGACGTCTACAAACATTAAAAATCCTTCAAAATCCTTCACGACAGCATCCATGTTATGTAATCGCATTTTAGCTGAGAGTCCTCTAATATAATTCTGCGCTAATATGTATAATTATGCAAATAATTTCTGGGCTGCCCGAAAATTCGCCAGAAAACTCTCAGCTTCAGTGCGGTTGTTTATGCTTCCTGGATTGGAATAAAAGGATATAAATAGAAAAAAGACCCAAACATTGTTTTTATTGTCTTAAAAATTCTTATTAATAAAATTATTTAAGATACTATAAATTATTATCGTATATCAAAACGTTATAACAAATTATGTACAGTAGATTCTCGACAGTTCGAGTTTATCGAGAATGACAGAAACTGAGCTATCAAAATCTGGAAGTGCACAGAATATTTATACAATAGAATACAGTAGTAAGTTCAATACAACTTTTGAATGTAGAGGAGAAGGTGGTATTATGGAACCTCATTTTCAATATAGTGAATTGTAAACAAGGTATTATAACTACACCCACATTTTTTGTGCGAAAAGTACTGGTAACTATTAAACTAAATGTTCCTAATTGAATTTTTCGCAAGTGTAACCATAAGTATGATTTTTAAAGGCTTCTGTAAAAAAAGTCACAAAGTAGGCTTAGGGAAAACCGGGTGGTAATATGGAACCTTAATGTATGTTTTTAAAAAATTCTTTAATGTATCTGTTACCGTTAAAGCTCGAAATCCGTTAATGTGCACATTACCTAGCTAATCCGCAGATTAACTAGGGTGACCCGTTAAAGCTGCGAAAATTATTCCATTTCTCAAATTACCTAGGAAATGCTCAGATTATCTAGGTAATCCGCAAATTACCTACTAGGCACTCGGTAAAGTGAAAATAAGATTTTTGCTGGAACAACAGCAACGTTTCTGTATGCTTAAATTAACATAAAATGTTATTTATTTAATTTTCAATATCTAAAGAATCAAGTTAATACAATCAACAAATTAGTTGATTGAATCAATCATCAATCAATTAAAAAAACTTTAATACAAAAATCTAACGGTTTAAAATATTACTACAATTAGGGAAATGAATTTGAAAAACATATGATAAAATTGTACTTATTTATTAGGGCAATCTAAAGATTGGTGACACTTTGAATTACGTAGCAATTGGTTTTTGCGACGAGCACGCCTATTTGTGGTACATTTAGATTTGCAGTCACATTTTCTGAAACCCTGGCCAGTACCAAGGGATTGTTTTATTGCTGTTTGACGTAAAGATATTTCTACAGCAGGGACATCCATCTTCTTTCGTTAAAAATCTCTCTTTGCAAACACTGAATTTAGATTTTGCATACAATTGTTTTAAAATACTTGTTTTTAAAATACAAAGAGAGAGTTCGGAAGAGTTGGGTTCCATATTAAAAGCACTAATGGGATCCTTATTTCACGCATTTCAATCTTGAGTTAACTTGATTCCTGTCGACACCAAACTTTAAAAACGTGAAAATCACACAGATTAATATGTACCCCTAAGTCTCTGGAACGGAATACGTGCATCAGTGAACTTACAACTACACGATTTATATTTTAGAAATAATTAAGTTCACTTAGCATTCAAAACTTTCGAATTTCGAAAAACACAAATATGCTGATTCATTATGGACAACCGTTTAACTGAAGTAAAACGGGTTTTCCCCTTGCTATGAATGTCTGCCTAGTGCAGTTCAGCCACAATCCGCTACAGTTCGCCTTTATCATCAGTTTGAAATGAACGAATTCTATAATACGTGCAGGGTTCCATGATATCATTTTTTCCTCTACCTTAGTTCGATACACGAAGATGAAACTAATTTAAAAACAAAGTTAGTAGTATTTAACAAATTGTCATAACAGCTTAGTACAACATAACATAAAATACACAATAATAATAAATATTTGAATATACGATAGATTAATTATTTTTCTCCAGATCTTAAACCAAATACAGCTGTTCCTCGTACGACACAACACGGACTTGCCATAACATGATTGCAAAATTGAAGATATCCCCGTACGACACTGTTTCCGGTTTCGCTCTAAGACAGTTCGAAAATTTGAGAAATCCTCCATACAAAATTTCACAACATTTACGTACAAATTCAGTTATTCGATATTTCCTTTTATTCCAGTAAGCACTCACGTCGTCTCAAATCTGCCCACTTATTTTAGAATATTAAAATTTTCAATTTGTTTTGTACGTTTTGTCACGTTTACTTTAAGGAAAACTAATAGTACGATGTTTCTTTTTCCTTGTTCTAGCTTTCCTATTAAACGGGTTTTGTTGTCGATGTCACTGTGTTTTGGTTTTATAGACTAATCTTCGTATCTAGGAAAATTAATTTAAACATTCTTAGGTGTTATTAAATGTTTTTTAACCATAGAGAAAACCATTCTTAAACATTTGCAAATATGAAGTCATTGCTGATATTTCTGATTAAGATCAACGAAAATCGTGGGAAAATGACGATACTTTGTAAAAAAAACCCACTTTAAAAAAAATTAATATTAACGCGATTGGAAAATTGGGAATATCGGGGTAATAAGGTATTTTTAATTGTTTGTTAATTATCGACTAAAAATAAATTATTGATTTCTTTAATAAACACATGTTTCTTAGTAACGAAAAACAATATTATATTTTTTTAACATCTGAAAATGAACCCCGTGTTTTGTATCATCCCTTTGTTTCGTATAACACAGATTCGCATAAAACGACACATTTTCGAAACCTAACTTCCGTGTTATAAGAGGGGAACCTAAAATTTTCCTACTTGCTTTAAACTTCATAGAACGAAATTTGTTTCCAAGTTTCATACTTTTGCAGATTACGATTACTCTAAATTATTTTCAGAATGTATTATTACTTTACTTTTATACGTGCAAAATGAATTTTTCATTCATCTCGGTTAAAGAATTAATCGTTTTACATTATAATTTATGTCCACAAAGAAATATCCTCGCACATAAAACTTGTTTTAATACTACAGTATAAATGAAAATGCACGTTTTTTTCTAATCAATATTCCACGTTTTGTTCACGATACAATTTGAGAATTAACGATTGGTAGCTTTCAATCGAATCTTGAGACAATCATAAACAGGAGAAACCATGTCAATCTAACTGACTTTTTAATCCCACCCTTTAATTACATGTATAATTGTCCACTTTCGCAACACATTGCCATAAAAACTAGGAGTTGTCGGAATCCAACAAAATTGTACAGGTGTGAGGGGAACGGTGATATACGAAAGCGATTACAAAACAAAGGCAAAAGGATCATTTATTGCAGGAAAAGCAAAAAACGAAAGGAGGTTCTACTACCCTATTGGTCTACCTCTAGCGTAAATACACGACGTGATACGGGCGAACATGGAGACATACGAGTTCCGTATGGTATCTTGATCCACGTTTGCCGCAAACGGTCTTTTAGTTCCGCGAAACTCCTACTCTATCCAACTTGGAGTCCTAGATCATACCAGACACGTTCGATCGATGTCAAATCGGGGCAGCGGGCAGGCCCGGGAATGTGGCAATGTGGCGAACACAGTCACGTCAAACCCTTGTAACGTGTGGTCAAGAATTGTCCCGTTGGAAAATGGCTCCCGGGAGTTCTACCACAAAATCCAACATACGTGGATGCAAGATGTCACTAACGTATTGCTAGGCTGTCGTAGTCCCTTCGTTCACTAATAAATGAGACTGCCTGTTATATGTGATGACATCCCAGACCATCTTACCGGCTGTAGTGTGCCGCTCTAAAGCATAGGCAGGATCGAGGCGTTCATCACGGGACCTCTAGACGCAAACACGGCCATCTTCGGTGCCCAAATTAAATCTGGGTTCGTCATCATAGAAGACCTAGTTCCATTCCGTTGCAATCCAACCCCGTCAGGAGTGACACCACTTCAGAGGTTACGGTGGGTGGTGTCAATGGCAGCACGTGTAATGGCTGCTGCCATTGATGATACCAAATATGTGCTGCTATTGACATACATGTGCACATATAATACGAAATATACCGTGCACATGTGCTATACCAAATATTTCTCACCCTATCGCCTCGAAATGGTCTGGACAGACACAAAAAGCCAGTAATGATGGCACCAACTTTGTCCGAATGGTGTCATCCATGTGCAAGTTCTCTCAGGATAGTTGTGTGAGATTCCGGACAACCCGCCTCCCGATTGATTGTAAATCGATGTCAAATCCATAAATGTTAGAAATAATATTTCTGATTTTTATAGAAAGATTTTAAGGTAAAAACGAAGGAAACTGGTAAAATTCACTTCCTTCTCAACGGAAGTTCGACATCCTTTTTGTTTTCCCTTATCTTTATAAATTTTGTGTCGTATACAGTCCAGTTACCCCTCTGTAAACCCCACTCTTCCTAAACACGTGAGAATAATATCATTTTCTCATTTGAGAAAAACATCCAAAGAGAGGATTCTTGAGTATCATTCGGGGAGTACGCTACAAGATTCCATAGAAGAAGGACGTATTCCATATCATCTTTCCATGGCCAACGCCCATATTCAAATCCCGTAGATCATACAAAGTTTGTTATAAAGTTTCTTGTAAGTTAAAGAAAATATCTATTCAAGTGGCGCCAAAGAATTAACCAAAGATAAGAACATTCCATCAATCAGAAATAAAGAAGATAAAAGAATATACTTTGAGGTAGTATGTTATAACTGGAATTGTAATCTCACTCTCTGCATCATTCCATAATTATAATTTGAGGATTAGAATTTCCAAATCTCATATTTTGTTTATTAAATTTTTGATATTTTATTTTTAACGATGTGTCTCCTTTCGTCTCTTGATATGTCTGAAAAACATCCCATCCTCTTCACATTGATTCGAGAACGCGTGTTAATCCCCGTTTAACAAAAGTGATTAATTGGTGTCAAGTATCCTGATGTGATCTAGACCTTACCATCTAGATGTTTATAATATAACAAAAAGCCCTCCTTAAAAAAATTAGAGATCGAATCTTACGATTTTCAGTCGATTAACCGGTACTCCAAGTTTGTACCCCCTGCCAATCTCACAGTGGTCTGCCGACGCGACGGGGTTCCGAGCCTGGGCGTCATATGTGCAAGCTCTCTCGCATTCACTGTTCCAACACCACCTCACGGTGTTGTCAGAACGGTATAGAAAGCAGGCTATTCAACGAGATGACCACCTGGCTTCTCTGATTATTCTTCTCCTCTCAAACTGTTAGTTACTCATACTGTCTTCAATTGTGACGTAAAAGCATATCTAGTGATGGTCCCTTTGCATAAGATAAACTTCAGAAATATTGCCTTTCTGTAGCTTATCAAGCATCCTTTTGTGATAATTTTCGAACTGTAACCCAATGCACTTCTATGTTTAAATCTATCAATTATTTGCCAATATATTTTCGTATTATTACATGTCACCAATCTCGTATTTAAGATTCAAATATAAAGCTGATTTTTCTTCTCACGTAATAATTAATTCTCATTTAAATCATTTTTATACAAACGTAACATTTTTATCCTTTTTTTGTAATGTGTTTATTAATTTTTTATTAATGTCATTATTTTACAATGACAGTATAATTTCGAAACTGGTTGTACGTCAACGGCGATTTGACAAAGGAAAAATTATGAAACTCTATAGACTGAGACATTCCCGTTCAAAATTTGCCACGACATGTCTATGGTCCGATTTTCGATTTTATACGTCACAACGTATCAATCGTAAATCATCTCTATGACAATTTTTTTAACATTGTGAGCATTTAACCAGTGCGATGTCATGACGAAATAAATTTTTGAAAATACACACGTGGGTGTCTTGCTGCCGTCCACTTGGAAGTTTAACTGATTGCTGAAGTTAGTAGATTTCCGGTCATACGAGTATTTTAAACGTTTCTCGACTTTATCGTCGCTTAGGACATTGGGCATGCACGTCCTCTCTTGCAGGCTTTGAATTGCTTTATACAAAACGTTAGACGCGTGTCACCATATTTGTGTTTCCTTGTCAAGCCAAAATACTAAAACGTACGTCCAGGGGCTCAGTTTCGTTTTCCCAGAAAAATCTAGTTATTGTCCATGTACAGGTCTTTATATTCTTCATCCTGGTCCTTTATGTCACCGTGCCGTTTATCATTTTAGACTACGTTCCTAAAAGCAATTACCTGGATAATTTTACCTTTGTAATTACAGGCACCTGCAATTAATCCGTTGTATCGCTATTTAACATTGTAGTACTTTTTTAATGTATTTTTTTATTCTAGAGCTATAGCTTTTCCTTAATATTTCTAGTATTCGTCGAGTATCTTTAATCAATATAAATTATTTAAAACTATTAAATTACTAAACTTTGTATATACTTTTCATTTATCTTCAAAACTAAACAACTCACAAATAATAGAACTGAAAACTTAAACATTTTGTTTAAAGTTTTCAATTTTATAAGCAGGCTTAATGTTCATATTTGTAACTTTTAACTTTTCGTTAAAATGTATTTAAACCTTAAATAAACTTTCGTTCATTTAATCATTGCTTTAAACATATGATTAGATCATTATTTCTTCTTTTTTTATCTTCTAATATCTGAAATTTTACATGCGACTTTCACTTTTTCCCTCCTACAGGCATGTTTTAAAAGCTTTCATATAGTACCAACAGCTTCACAATTTTGTTCTAAACGCTCCAAAAGTACTTCTAATTTACTATTTAAAGAGCCTTTTAATTTTTGAAGTTACAAGCTCGCTTTAATGTTCAAGAAGAAATTAGGCTTTGAAAAGACGAATTCCTTCTTTAACGTTAAGCTCTTTTTCGGCACTTATATCAGACAAGTTCAATACTTCCGTTGACTCACCTGAGACATTCTCCTGGCTTCCTATTCGTTTTTTTCTGTTTCGTCCGATATCTTGAGATAGTGACGCAAAAGTTTCCCTTTTTTCAAATAGAGGATAAAAACAATCACGAGCTAGCAGAAACGTGACGTGAAAAGCCGCAACAGTCGGATGGCGCCCCCAAAACAGTAATAACTATAATCATTAAATATTTTCGTATATACTTTTTTTCATAATAGTAAACGTAACATTAATTATCATTGAAAATATAATAATAATGATAATAGCCAGTTTTTAAATAAAATAATTAATTCTTCAGATGACTCGAAATTGTGTTAGTTAATAACCGTACTTCGTGTTCTGTTTACCATTAATTGCCGTAAAAACAATTGTGAAAAAATCAACATGTTTGTGACTTGCAAAATAGTTTACCCGAGCGTATGTTTTTTGTAGCGTCGAAAATCTTAATTCAGATTAGGAGACGACTTTTAAAGCTCGATTACTGAGACCAATCTGTAATTGGTCAAAAATAACAAAAAAGTCTCTATTAGTAGAAGGGTTGTCCACACGCTGTTGACTGTACAGCCCAGGTCACTAGCGGAAATCTGTATTTTGAATTTTTGTCTGTTTTCGGAAAAAAACAGTATTATTTTGTCGTTATTATACTGTTTGATATGAAAAGAAAAAATCAGTTGGAGCAAATATTGATAATAATATTTATTTCCTAATCACAGCTTCTAGAGCTTTTTTCGCCAACTAACCCTCATTTATCTTTATTATGCAGATTTTGGAACTTATTTTATCTTGATAAATCGATGCTGTATAGTCTGAGGATTCGCGCTCTTTTGTGAATTTTAAAGCTTTAATTTTTTTCTCATCATCATTTTTTTTCTTTTTTTAATTTTTGCGTCACTTTCAGAAGTGACCTTTTAAACTTTAAGATGGGAAGGAAATACAAAACTCGCACACTTCCTATCTCGTTCGATTTCGTAAACGATAAAACCGATCAAGATGACCATTTAAGGAACAATTATAACTAAGGTTGCGAGGCGAACTCTGATCTTAGTCATCTCCAATAATTAATTCAGTTGTTTTGGCAGCTTTTATCAAATTTATGAGGTAGAAAGAGTGACAATACCGGATAAAAGAAGTAATAAATTTAAAGAAATGTTCCATTTCTGACAATTAACATAATAATAATAACATAATAATCGAACTTTGGATGGGATTGCATTAGACTCAGCATTAGTCAGCCGCCCGAAACCGCGTAGAAAAAGGGCTTGGACACAGTCCTCTGGGCGGACATCAACAGATCCATACCGCCGTTCTATCCGTCGCCATCTCGCCATAAGCTCCAATGGTCAATTCCACCGAACCAGGAAAGTTTTCACCAACGGCCATACAACGAGATCGGAAACCAAGGAGGTAATCTTTTGAAAAATTTTAACCCTCTCTCTCTCGGGTCTCGCTCGTCTTCTAGTTATAAGCTAGGTTAAGGATAGTTTAACCTAGACAGATAAAGGTCCAGATCTTAGACGATTTACCAACAGAATCGAAGTAATCATTGTCGCGACTTAGAATTTTTGATTATTCTATTTTTGTAGCTATTCGCTTTTGCATTTGCTTTGTATGATTTTATAGCTTATTAATTAATTTAACTACGTTATTCTTATATTTAATTGTGTCATCCTTGAGTACGACCGACACCTCGTCACGACCTCGCTAAACCTCCCCACTCACTTTTGGCCCTCCTAAAGCCATTCCCTGACAACGAAGCCGAAAAGGTGAGTCAAGCTCGACGCTCTACTTCTCGGTTCACAATAGATATTATTTTCCATAAACGTTGTTTTCTGGTTAAGAATCATTTGTTAATTAGTAGTCATTTCACGTATTTTCTTAGCAGATTTGGAAATATATTGTACAGTTTCGAGTGCATATAAATTCTTAAGAGAATACTGAATGTAACAAAACTTCGTTTTAATGCTTATAAAATGAAACCGGAGAAAAATACTGAAGATATTAGGAAGAAGGATTTCGGAATTATTTTAAAATAACATAAAAATAATATATTATATTAAAACACGAAAATAGCGTTTTTCTGTTAGTTCTTTTCGTTATTCAACTTTTAATAGCAAAATAATAAATATATCTCTTTGTGTTTCCATGTCATTGTCATTTTCAAGACACGCGCAATTGATAACAATGATGCACTAGTAGAATAATTTCATTATTGCGGTGCATTGTTGTGTTTATTTGTTGGCTAAACTTTCAAAATGTAAATTCTCGATATTTAATAATTAAAGTAAACTAAACAACTAACAAATGGTAAGTAAAGACTTTCTATTTATTTTGTCTATTTTGTCAAATACAATTTTTATATGGCAAATTGTTTTATTAAACATCCATAAACTGTCAGACGTTTCTAAGCGTAATATCATGTCTAAGAAACGGTATGTATTATTGTAGAGTTTCGATAGTTCGAATCACAATATTTTCAGGAGACACTCTACACTGAAGGTGTGATCAAACCGAAAGGTCTTAACATCGCCTTTTAATTTATTCTCTTGTAAAATGACACTCTCGCTATTTGTTTTGTACCGTACAGGATATTGTGTATTTCAAGCGCCACGTTTTATTATTATATATACAACTATCGTCGTGATTGTTATCATAAAATAAACACGACATTATTTACGCTTTTGCTTCGATTTTGATACTTCTTTTTGTCTTATACCCGAAAAATTCGAGCCGTCGATAATCTACTGTACATATTTTTATATTGAATAATTTATTATATAATAAATAATTCCGTGTCAGATTTCCACTAAATAATCATTCATATTAATTGAAATTTTTGCAAAGGACCAAGGTATAAACTTGCAATGCATCCGATGCAAAAAAGAATTTCAAAGAAAACTCCACTTAGAACAACACATGCGTACTCACACTGGTCAAAAGCCTTATACTTGTGAACTTTGCCGAAAGCAATTTTCCATCAAATGCAATCTAAAACAACATTTAAAAAGACATCTAAAACCACGTCCGGTAGAAGAAACATTTCCCTGCAGTTACGAAGGTTGCAAGTTTAGTACGACAAGAAAAGTAACTTTAGTACTACATGAATCTGCGCACCGACCCGAGACAAACGTTGCTAATGTAAGTGTTAAGAGAGTATTCTGTGTTATTATGCTTATCTTTTGCAGTTAATCAGAAAAATTTCAAAACAAAGAAATCAAACTCAAAACTATAACCAATAATTATTAATTCCTTAAAGAACCGAAAAATGTCGATCGTTTTTGTTATCGGAGTTTAAATTTCCGAAAACATTTTCGTGCATTCGTTGCGGTTGCTTGCATTTCGTGTGCAGGGGGATTCTTCGAACGATACTTTGATAATTTATAACTTTCGATCAATCGTAACATCGGAAGAAAATAGTCGTAATAATTTTACTCGTGCAATCGACAAGCCACGGTAATGGCGAATAATATATAGGACAATATCAAACCGTAAAGTTTTAATTACAATAATTGATATGACAAAATGTATATCATTTCTTTTCACGTCATATTTTCTAATGCAGTGTTTGCATTAATTGTATGAAGTGAAAGTGCACAGTGTTGCATATTGTTAACTGTTTATAAGTCTACATTCTCCCGATTAAAATTACAAATAAATAGGAAGTATAAAGTTATAACAATTAGACAGTTAAAAGAAATAATTGCGCAAGACTCTTCTCGGCTTAGATTTTTAAAAAAAGTACTTCTATAAACATATTTTATATAAAATCTGAAGAAAATAAATTTACTTCAATTAGAAAATCACGACGCTGAAATAAATCATACCAGTTACGAATAAACCAACGTTTATATACATTATATATAAAATTAATTGCATTTCAGTAGCTGAATTTTGTGCTTTAATGTAAATATTTAAATTATAAATTCGATTATCAGATTCCGTCAAATGACCAGAAAATAAAGATTCGCTGGTGTACTATTTGCGAGAAACATTTTAAATACGTATCTAGTTTTAACCGGCATATGACAAGTCACAAAGGTGAAAGAGCGTTTCAATGTGATATTTGCAGTAAAGCATTCATCCAAAAAGATCATCTAAAAACACACATGAAAACTCATCTACGAGAGAAAGCACCGTTTTGCTTTCAGGTAAATACAGAAAGTATTTTAGACTACGTTTTACTAAATATTCGTGTGTTCAAATGATAAAAGAATTTAACGTTTTTAACAATTTTTTCCTAATTAATATAATTTCGCATTGTTAGTCTAAAATATGACCCCGTAAAAGTACGGAACTGAATGTAATTTATTTTAATTAAATACGCTTTATTTGGTAAACATATATCGTCAATTTTCACATTTTTGTTTCGTTTGATATTTTCAAAACGTCAAATTTTTTGTTACAGTTAATAATTTAAATATAACATTATTAATTCCATTTCTTGTTACATTCGTTTGATGTTTTTCATAGTACTTTTACTACGTTATCATTTGGCATATGATTGGTAACAATGGTGTTTTATTTCATTTAATTTCATGGTATTAAATATATTTTAGAACACCGAACAGAATCAGCGTACGTCCTGTGGAGAAAAGAATGAGAACAGAGATACCTTTGAAAGACCATCGACGAGTTCTCAGACAGCAGCAACAATCGAAAGTGGCGAAATTGCTTCAGAGGAGATTATTTTTACTTGGGATAAATGTGAAGAATTCCTGGAAAATGTCGACATCGATGCGGAGATAATGCAATTGGAAAGAGATTCACAAGTGGAATTGTTTGCAGAGTTTGAAACGAAAGAGAATAACCCGCAATGTCAATTCTGTCAACAGAAATTTAATGAGGAAGAATCTCTGAAAGAGCACGAAACGAAATATCATCGATCTCAATAATTCATTGCGAACAGTTTCTTTTTCGAAAATATGAATTCAAAACCATATCGAAAAATATAAATATTTTTATATTTCGTATGCGGATTAAAATTGAATTTTCGTCAAAAATGTCTTCAGTAATTTCACATAAATTGAAAACATATTTGTATTTTACACATATTTATTCACTCATCCAAAGAAAAAGAGCAAATAAAACAGAGAAAAAAACAATAAATAAATGAAAGTTTGGTACTATTCGGTTAAGTGGTTGCCAGTCGTTTTTACAACTACAGTATTTTTAGCTAAATCGTTTTTGTATTTTATATTTTCAAATGTATATGAATTATGATGGAATAATAAACAATTTAAAAATAATTAAACTTATTACAGTTATTTTTGTTTTGTATATGACATTCAGTTTTCAGTGTCTTTTATTGGTTATTCGTTTCGTCTTTTTGAAATTTGCACCAACTCATTTCACGTTATATCGCATTGAATCAATCGATGTATTAGACGAACGGTCTCGCACGGTGAAAAAAATACACTCATTTGATAAACGTCTAGTTCAACCGAATAGCCATTGCTGCGGATTAGGGATTGTAAATTTACCGACTTTTTCATTTACCGGTAATTCGGTAAATGAAAATTAAATTACCGGTAAATTTTTTCCTGAAAAATAAAATTAAGGTGATAAAAAATATAAGTAATTTTGATTTCCATTTCACATTTTCTATTTCAAAGGTATAGAATATAAAAAATATAAAAATTAAAGTGTTATTCTAAACAAACTATAATAATAACTTTTAGAAACATAAATAAAATAATACAGAAAAATAAAAATAAAACAGAAATAATATATAGTACCTAATACCATTTTACTGATTACCATTTTTTAAAAAATAACTTCTCAAGAAACTTAAATTATTTAAAGTCTTATCTCCTAATTTTGATCTAATTTTTGTACAAAATAATCCGGGTTAGGTTAAGTTTCTAGACTTTTTCGGACATCATCTTTAAGTAATAAAAATCTTTCCAGCATGTTTAGTAAGCTATTCCACCGGGTTCTACAATCTAAAATTAAAGAAAGTTCTTTTCGTGAGAGTAATGGGGATTCCCCACGAAAATAAGGTTAGAATAATACATATTTTGCACAATCGTAAGGCATAATGTTAGAATCTTGTAATAAATATTTGTATTTAATTATTTTAAACAGTTGTTAGAAGTAAAAAATTTATTTAAGGTACAAATTTTAATGTTATTTTGCAATAATATTGCTTTAATGTCCTGTCATAATGTGGTGTATTCAAAATTGCTATTAATTTAAAAAGTACGTGAAATATTTACGTATTATTATTTTTAAATATTAAAAAAAAGATATTTACTTAATCTTTAAGAAAAACGTTGATTGTAAAGATTTTAAACCTTTAAAAATCTCAAAAAACGGCAGAGCACAAATCACATATGCTAACTAGAGCTTTCTGTACAATTTACAGTGCCTCTCAAACCCAAGAAAGTTTAAATTAAAATTAAACAAAAAATATCTCACATAAAATTAATAATTAGGTATATTGTTGCTTACACTTATCTTTTTTTTTCAATGTTCCTTTAGCCCTTTTAAATATCCATACACACAATATTTTCTACATAAAAATTTCTAGCATGAATTTTTCATTTACCGAATTACCGGTAAATTTCAAAAATTTACCGGTAAGTTTACCGAATGTTTTTTTATCAATTTATCGGTAAACCGGTATACAATCCCTACTGCGGATAAACAGGTCAGACATGTTGTTTTCTACGTGTACATCGACTATCGTATTCGTTTACGAATCCGTCTGCACCATCTAATGTTACAATGATTGGAGATTTTAATTAAAGAATCAATACAAACAGAACTCATATAATCATTTCTATAAACAACCGAACTAGGATTATTTTCTAACTCGCCATGTAAGATTCTAATTTCTAGGAAAAAACGAATCGCAATTCCTTCGTTAGTTGACGATTCTAAAATCCATTTTAAAGCGAAGAATAACAAACTGACCAAATGGAACAATTACAGCGAATTTTGATAAAAACGTTACAGAATCTAACTTTTAGGTACATCACTCCTACTAATCTACATGTTTTACGTATTAACATAATGTTGAATGATGCGAAACGAGACACACATGTAAGGTTTGCCGACGTTGAGGGGGAAAAAGTCTATCTGACGTCAGAATGAGCCTAAGGGAAACCGCGTATGTAGGCGGTGGCGAAGGAGGCCGAACAGAATCAGCGTACGTCCTGTGGAGAAAAGNGTACATCACTCCTACTAATCTACATGTTTTACGTATTAACATAATGTTGAATGATGCGAAACGAGACACACAACTATGCTAAATAGACCGAAAATAAATAAATAGATGTAATTTTAACTTTTAGTATTATTCTAAATCCGAATTTACAACAAGAAAACGTAAAATACCACGCTATACTTAAAATTGACAACAAAAAGTCGAAATTCATCTTTTGTAAATATACATACGCCAATAATTGCTAATCGAGGAGTAGGCAACCGTTGGCACGCGGGACGATTTTCAGTGACATTCCGATTGAATAGAAATGTAGTAAAAATTATATTTTAATTATTAATTACACATTTAAATAGAAATCATAGTTTAGCTAAGACCGTTGTACATTAAACCAGGGCTGTTGAGACGGAATTGGAGTCGGAGTCGTGGAGTTTTGGTGTTTTAGTCGGAGTCGCAGTCAGAGTCGGATGATAAGGAAAAGTCGGAGTCGGTAGATTTTTACGCAACTTCCACAGCCCTGGCAGGGCTGTTGAGTCGGAGTCGTGGAGTTTTGGTGTTTTAGTCGGAGTCGCAGTCAGAGTCGGATGATAAGGAAAAGTCGGAGTCGGTAGATTTTTACGCGATTCCACAGCCCTGCATTAAACACGAATCTCTTCTTTGTATAGCCTATTTCTATTACTGCGCATTTACTTCAAAATTATACATTTTTGAAGTCCGTTACTGCCGAACTAATTTCAATAATATATAGCCTATAATAATAAACTTGGTAGAATCGTGTCAGCACTCGGAATAACACTAATAGTTATGTTAGGCACAACACCGTTGAAACGTTGCCGATCCCTGTGCTAATCCATTTCCATATCAAACATGTTTTATCAAATATTGTTTAAATGCATTAACGACTTTTATATTTTTAATACAATTTTTGGATACAGGGTTAGTTTATATTCAAACACTTTATATAAAATATAAAGTACAAAGAAGAAAAATTTAGGATGTAGTCATGTATCAGATTTCATCGATGACTGGTGCCCAGTTAACCGAATAGTACCAAAATTTCTTCATTTTTTCATGTCTTTTTTACTGTATTACATTTCTGTATGTAAAGATCGATCGATCTGTTAATGTTAATCGGAAGAGTTTAGAGTACAGAAGGTCCACAGACCACACAAGTCCGTCAGAAATTAAAGAGTTTTTATGGGGTTTTCCCTGAAATGTGATAACTGTCGTTCTTCATTCCTTGCCTCAGTGGGAGCCACTGAGGCAAGGAATGAAGATTTCTGTGGACTTCTGTGGTCTGTGGACCTTCTGTATTCTAAACTCTTCCGATAACTTAACACGGGATTCTCCTTAGCGAATGGCAGTTAACGAACCTTAGAAAAATCGCTATTTTCTGCTCCNCAGGACACACACGTACGTGTTTCGAAAAATTAAATTTCGTCACGACATCTGGCTTGTGTAACGTCCATCGTCAAGATGAAAATAAAAAGTCGTGGTCGAGATCAGCGTAAATTGACAGCGATGTTAAACTCCACTGACGTGTATAACCCGAACAGCTTACTTCTGTATTCTAAACTCTTCCGATAACTTAACACGGGATTCTCCTTAGCGAATGGCAGTTAACGAACCTTAGAAAAATCGCTATTTTCTGCTCCACGTTAAGTGGGTTTCGCTATGGGTAATCGGTCGAGATGCATCTGGGTTACGTGCTATCGATAACCATTACGCTTTAACAACTTACAATTTAGTTAACATTGTCTTTCTGTCACATGACTGCAACCCGCTGTTTTCCAAGCCAAGCACGTGTATTTTCTATTGTATTCCAGCGCTACTCAAATATTTTTGTGTTCTAACGAACAATGTTTTAACTAATATCTCGAACTCAGTTCGAGATATTAGTTAAAACACTTCGGTTCTAGCCAGGGACAGATTTAGGCATTTCGAGGCTCTAAGCTGAATTCTTTGTTAGACCAGTTTACCCTTTACAATTCTAGAATAAAAAGAAAGAATTAACATAAACATATTAATTTTAATAATAAACGTTTTGTTGTTAAAATGTATTTGCAAAATATAATTCGCCACGTCCAATGCTAATTTTCTTTCTTTCCAATTGCTCGTGCAGGAATATCATCCTTACATCTAAAGTCGCCATGTTCTTTTTACTTTTCGTTACGTTCCTAATGAGAGCTCGAGAATAATCGATAAGAAAAGTTTATTTATCGCACGTGGCTATCGGAACCGAAAACAAAACGTTCGGTTCAGAATAGCATTTTCATAGTTAATTAAAGACTAATCACGTGGTTTCACTAGAAAAAAGGTTTTTATTGTATTTGTTTNTATACATATATATATATATATATATATATATACACAAAGGTTACGAATAAAAGATCGATCCAATAGACTTATGTATTTGTGATAAGCTGTATAAGGCTCCTATAAGACAAGGTTTTTGTCGCCTTGTATTATAACATTGTTTATTTCGTCTACTGTCTTCAAACAGATCGATGCAATTTTTATTTACGTTAAAGATTAGTTTATCGTTTGAATCCATTACTTAATTGCATATTCGTTACTTTAATCGTAATTTAAAAGGCCAATTTGTGTGTAGACACCTGGTCAAGTGTCCCCGGTGCCTATTAATTTAAATGATATAACATTTCTTAAATGATAACTGAAAATAAGTTAGAGATTAATGGTCACAAACCTAAATAAATTCATTTACGTTTAAATTACTGAAGCTACACCGAATAACTATTTCTTGGTAATGACTCAATGAAATAAACAGAGCATATAACGTTAAATGTTTTTTTTTAATGTTTAGAAACCCAGTTAATTTCACAGAATATAAGTATAAGAAGTGTTGAATACATTGATTGAACACTTTCTCTTTAATAGTAGTTTTAGTTTTTCCAATGCTAAGTATTATACCGGGCAGCAATTATCTTCCATCGATTTCGATCCTGGGCGATGGACTCAGCTTCTTGCCACGTCATATTGAGAATCTTCAATTCTTCAAAAAAATTCTAACAACAAATTTACCTAGGACGTTCTC